TCGCTGAATATCATCTGCTCCATTGAAATTCCCGATATAGCCAGAGGAGACGCGATATCGCATTTGTCTCCCTGGCTGCGTTACCTAAACGATCGCGTTTTCGCGGCCCTTGTTCTACCGCGCGAACGTGACCGCGTATCGATTACGCGCTACTGCTTTTTTTTCGGGACAAATCCCGTCCCCCGTCAGGCCCTTCGTCCGCCCGATAATTGATAACAGGTCTGTTACACACGGTGAGCATCCTCTGTCTCTAAAAAACTTCTTTTGCGACTCCTAAGTGAAGAACCATCAATATTCCTGTGTCTGATTACTACAAACAATGCACTGCACTGTACTTCATAATTTTTAGTTGCAAATCGAAAATTAACGATGACAATATCACTTATTACCGATCACATTGACAAGTAGAACTGGTCACAGTATTGTTTGCAGAAAATTAGCGATGTCCCTAATTGGGGATAATCACAGGATCGAGTACGCGATAACCACCAGTCTGGGTGTAACAAAGGGAAACTTCTATTTTATGTCGAGTGTACCTACTGCAAATATTTGCAGCAGAAAAAATACACCAAGGACTCACCGTGTGAGCACATCCAGCACGAAGGTGGTCGGTTCCTCTACGCCTAGCTGCAGGCAATAATCGTGGGTGTACAGCTCCGTGGGCCGATCAGTCGACGCTCCCCGGCGTGTTTTCGTGCGCCGACAAAGAGCGAATCATTGCAAATTCTCGTGATTCCCTCCCCATCTGTGGAAGGGTGGCATCACGTGGCTTGGCTAGGTGAGGTAGGGCGGAGCTGCAGAGGCAAAGGGGCTCATCTCTTTCCTATGGTGGAAGCACCCAGGGGCAATTGAAACTCACGGCCATTTACTGCATTTCAATAAGAATGCGTAGGTTGCCTCCACGGCGCACAGTCGATTTACCGTGGAGCTTTTGGAACACACCGAAGTACGCAGAAGTAACCAACGGCTAACTACCTCGTCTACCAATGACTGTACGTATTATTCGCTGGGCGGCCTAACGCTGCGGAGCCCCCACGTGCTGACGTGTACACCTAAGCGCTCCGACGATTTTATGCTTTCCAGGAAAAGTCGTTTCCAGGGAACAAGCCCGCGTGTACCTACGTTTTGGGAGGGGGAGGTTGTTGCGACCCTACGAACCAAGGAACCTGGCGGAAAAGATGGGAATAAGCGGGCAACCGTTTCTTCCGTCTTCACATTTAGCTCAATTTGAACCGAGAAATTGGGTATCCCGGGGATCGAGGTAGAGCTCCAAGGCGTTCTCGAGATCTTTTTCCTGTACATATTCATAATAATCCTTGAACGAGCATTCGTTGACGATGAAACGGGCGGAACGTTGAGCACGGGTTACTTGAAAATATAACCTAGCTTCCTGCCGACTCTGAAACCCCGCGGGAACCTAAATGCCTGGTTGTACCCTTTCGATTCAAATGACCATCGGCTTCGAGAAGAGTTTCCCATTGATGCACACACGTGGAGGCTACCTGGGTTCGATAATCGTTACCACGTAACCATGAATTCTTAACGTTTCACGATCTTACTTCGCAGCGGTGGGGGAAGAAGTGGGGGAAGGGGTGGCTTCGTCAAGTTTATTTCACGAATGTCTTACGTAACAGTGGGATAAGGTTGAATAATACTCCGAATCCTTCAACGCGCGAATACATTGCCTTCACCAGTCAGACTATTATCATGCTAAAAGCAGTTGGATTTGAATTTCGTTGTACCGTGAATGACTGATCGACATTTTCCATTACAATAAAACTGCGCTTTCTCAGACAGTCTGTGTATGTAATGTAGTACAGTAGAGCCTCCCGTATCCGAACACCCTAATATTAAAAAAAACCTTTGAGTTATCCGAACACTTACGTCGCCCTATCAGTTCGGATACGGGAGACTCCACTGTAGTGACTTCGGTTCAATCAGTGTCCCATCGTCGGTTTTAAATTATTACAAGTCATCTGTACCCATTATGTCCGGTTTCGACAACCCATTGTATAGTCCAAACTAAAAATTCCAAAGTGACCAGTGCAAATTAACCTGTACATGGGCGTAGCCAGGTATCAGTGGGATGGGAAAAATTTGTCTTAAGGTAAATTTCATAATATTATTTTGCTCCTTTGGGGGGGAAGGGGGCAAAATCGAATTTCCCCCTCTACGACAGAGCACTTTTTTCCCTTTAGAGGAAGAGGGGCAAGTGCCCCCCACTCTCCCCTAATTACGCCCATGACATTGTACCCCAGAGTTTCAGTTCCACCGGCTGAAAGACAATTCTTGTTCACAAAAAAAACATATACCTATCCTGTACGCTTTCGGATCAACCACTGTGCAGCAATTACTTAGCATGCACTGGAAATGGTAGTACCGATTCATCACGGGATCGATTAACGTTCCCGTTTCTCCGGCTGCTGTAAAGTAAGAGTCTTCAATCCCGTCATCCAGGTCGAAATAATTGAAATGGACGTTTCATCGTTGTGTCATGCCCTCCGTGAATCCATATCGCCGAGGCCCCGAGTATGTGGGACCGAGCCGAAGTTTCGCCGAAACACCCGACGGTATCACCCGCAGGCAATAGCCGAAACAAATTTCACCCATTAGCAGCATGCGCGGGGAGGGTTGTGTGGTACATGTCACGCCGCAGTTGTCATCAATACAAATATCTGCTCGCGATATCTGTCCCGTGTGCTGGTCTCGTTGTGGAAATACCAACGAATTTTGTTTGACGATACGCAGGCTCGTTCTATGCGTACACTAACCTATAAAGCTTTTGGGTCGTTCTAACATTCAGGGGTCTACCTAGCGCAGGCTGCTGCCCCGGGCTTATGTCAAAACATAATTGAATGAAATTGTATTCACTGTTTCCCTTTTTGAAATAATTAGAAATTGCACTTAAAGCAAATATAACATTGTTTGTCATAATCAAGCATTCGTTAGGATTGAATGTTATTTAATTTTATTTAGTATAAATTCAGTTTTTTTTACGATTTATGTATTATTGAATGTTATAACATTTTTTTCATAAAATTTTTCCGCCTCCGCTTTTCAATCAAGAGAGCCCTCGAAAGTTTGATGGTCTTGGACCCTGAAATTCTTAATCTGGGCCTAGGTCTACCAAGTGCCAGTCTCAGCAGCCTCGACAAGGTATAGAGAAGAATTCCAATTAATTTCGATTACTTCATGATCGTACCAACGAAAGTCCTTCCATATTCGAATAACGAGCAACAGACAAGAACGTCTTTCCCTGGGATTGAAAGTTTTTAACGACCGTCTACAATCTCTCTCCCCTTGTTAAGGGTATTAACATCGAGAAAAAATGGCGTAGTTGTTTCTCGATGATGAATAGTCATTTATTCCCTGGAACTTGAGGTGCTTTGGTAAGTTTTTCCCCCGAGAATTTCTTCCACGAATGAAAAAAAGAAATCAAAACTATCCTGGGAACGAGGAGGAAGTGTAAGCACGGTGGTTGCCACGGGGACCACATATCCGTACCCACACCGATACCTGTCGTCGGTCACGTAATTGGTGGAGAACCGTCCCGTCGTGCCCGGTAAAAATGTGGAAAATGCCGTTTGCCTCTGAAACAGCTGTTACCCGGAGAGCAGATTCCCAGGGCTCTCGTGTCCGCGTCAGACAGAACAGAGGACAATGCGAGAGCACTCCTGGATTTAAATACAATAACCCGGGGCTATTGTAAAAAATATACCCAACGCTCACATTCGCGCTGGTGCACACAAATGGACCCGGGCTTTCCAATACGCGGGATTCGATCAGCGGTGTTTCCACTCGCCAAATAACAAGTACATACGTTCAGCGACCAATCACACGTGTTATCCCATATTCTGATGATCCCCGTCCGTTCTAGATCCCCGTCCGAGGATCTATCGGTTCGATGGCTATGCAGATATGTGCACGTTGATTCGAACCTGAAGTGGTGTGTGTATGAGGTGCTTCTAAAAATCTAGGATATTTTTGAAATTTCGAATATGCAGTTGGAAGACTTACGTCTGGTTATCACGAAAAGATACTTGTTTTTAGGGAATAGTTTAAGGTAGTAATAATTTTTTTAGGAAATAGTTTAAAATAGGGATAATTGCAAGAAATAGTGAAAGAATTAATGATTATGCTGCCGTCTGTTTCGCGAAGTAACCATTAAAGACGCCTACAGAAGAGCAACCAGCCGTACGTACGACAGTTGGCCTAGCTTACCTTTTACCTCTGAGCTTTCATACGAAATTGTTCTTAGAATATAATTTATTTAGAAAATTTATCCTATTATTTATAATAATCCATTTGGATTAGAATATTTCCTCGAAACCAACTGTGACTCACTTTTTGTGGGCTATTGTAATGAGAGAAGAATCAAAGAAAAATTGTCTACTCATTATTTAATTTAAAGGAAAGAACCTGCGTACACACGTGCCACATCGTGAACACAAACGCGATTATGCATGTGATATGCGGTGTAATCGCATTTCTACACATGTAACTAGCCGTGTAGGCACAGAGGATTATCTAATGGACGACATGTGTTAAGTAACCCTGCGGTATCGGTAGTATGGAGAATCTACTCCAATTTGCATGGTACCTGTAGGTAGATTCTATTTGCTCGCATTAGTGACCTACCTCGATTTTTTAACAGGTTTACTACCGTTAAAAATTTGGAAATTTTATTAGCTACTCGAAGTGATCGATAATTAATTCCTATCAGGTGATGAGTCCTATCTCTAGATATAGTACGTTAAAATGGTTCATAGTGGGAGAGTAGGAAAGACTGAAAAGGAATACTACATATTAAATTCTACGTCGTATTATAACTCATATATACAGAATCGCACGTCATGGTCACATTCCCTCTCTCCTGACAAGACTTGGATACATTTGAATGCAGTCACACAAGCGATAAAATTCTTTTGTTGAGGCAGTCTGCAATTGTTCATTCCTAACGTCGGACAAACAGGATCGGAAAATATTTCGACGAAGGTCAGTAGTATTAACAAATATTATTTATTACAGAAGTGATTTATTTTACAGATACGTGAACGCTGGAGGCAGTCGTAAAAAACGTGTTGTCAAGTCTCGTGAATTTTTTTAAGCTATACCTACTGCCGTCTCTTCTTTGCTTTCATTTGAATCCTACGATTCTTTCCTAATCTCGGGTTCGGTTTTCCGCCTTTCTTTTTTAAATCCTTTCCCGGTTTCGAAGGCCTTTTGTACTCTGAAACGTCCGCGGAGCTGGACTTTGTATTTTTTTTGTTACCGCGTTTTTTGCCGCCGAAACCATACTTTGAATCTTTCATCTTCCGTTTTGCGGCTGCTTTTTGATCTAACCCTTTACGCTGAGGCTTCTTCTTATCTTCGAGGAAATCTAGATCCTTCCTGACGCCTTTACGATATTTCTTAACTTCCTCCATTAGTTTCCTCTTTTCTGCATGTTTCTTCAAAGTTGCTTCCACTTGCATTTGCTTGGACACTTTCCTCTGCTGTCTAAGCGATCTAATTTTCTCTGATCTCTGAGCTATCGTCTGTTTCTTCATAAGATTCTGTCTGACTTTTTGCATATGAGTGTCTGACTTTGCCATTTCAGCAAAATAGTCATCCGGTCTGATTGTCGGTACACCCAGCTTTTTCAATCGTATGATACCATCCAGAACAGCACCTTGAGCTTGCCTATGAAACATTGTCTCCCTTCGAAAATCATTTAGAACAGGATCCTCGGACGGAGTATACTGAGGTAATTTTTTATTCCCTTTCAACTGTTTTGCGCGTCGTACTTCCTGCTCTTGCATTTGTAATGCTAATTCTGGTGCTAAAGGTGCTGGTGCATTGACCATATCCAACCTCTCTAACCACGGCAAATTTAATTTAATCGCATCTAGTTTTTGTTTCATAAGATTCTAGGAAAAATTTGAATTGTCACATACTTTTATGATATAATAACACAGTACCTACGATCTTAGTTCTTAACTTACCACAGAATTTTTGAATTTTTTACTTATTTCTTCAGTTACTGTATTGAGACCGGGTTTTATCAAACCTTTCGCAAAAGCTTCTCGTAACTATACACGTGAAAAAAATAAGGTTAGGAAAACCTTATTTCTAAATTTTCTGTCATACTAAAACTTACTTTTAAAAACATAGATTACTTACTTCCTCGTCCGAACTATACTCTGAATCAGAGTCGGACGATGCTGCTACTTTTGCAGCTTTCTTCGTTGCTTTTTTCAGTTTCATTTTATTAAATTTACTTCACACAATACAGTAAACACTACATAAGCGATTTGCACACCCAGCACCATCTGTTGAAAGTAGTACTCCATACCTGAAGCTTCGTGACTTAACTGATAAGCTAGCAATTTTAAATATAATCATCATAAAATTTATAATTAATATACTAAATTTAAAACTGAATTACTTAAATTTTCTTATAATTATTATTTAAGACTAAATATATGAATGATGATCAAGTAATTCATGTAAATATGAAAGTCATCAGCATCTTTTCACTGGAATCTCATCATTTTGTCTTGTGATGAATAACGCTGTCAGCAATTCTTGACTCAATTATAATAATATTTGACGTTCAACATGTAGATGACTGTAATTGATTAAATGTAATTGATTAAAAAATCACGTCCAGTCATTTGTGTACTGATAATGTAATCTGTTTGCATTGGATAGATATGTTTTAATGAGATAAAAATTTGGACACTCTCTTAACAGTATAAAGAACAAATTTGGATATCTTATCTCTCTATTTATAAAAAATTCGACAAAGACTAGAAGCAAGTTACTAACCAATCATCAAGCAATTTCAGTTCAGTCAGCAGATCGTTACGCAGAAAGCTCTTGAAGCCCGAGTCTGGCGTATCCTGTGCTCTATGCCAGCATTTTTTGTCACAGCTGGCTAACGACAGCGAAACATCATGACGGATAGTGATACGAAACCAATGTCACGCTTATTGAAGCTCGCTAATAAATTTAATTGCTTTTACCTGTCAGGTAAGTGAAATCGCTTGATTTATGTGCGCGTCACTTTTTCGTTGGTCCCGCTACTCCGATTTTGGGATGAATAGCGCATAGATACGCGTGGCTTTCCGTCCTGTCTACTGAGATATTGATTTCGAGTCTGTTGTGTATTCTTTCTTGAGTTATCAACAAAATAACGAGATTTTCCGTGGGGTTCTCCTGAAAAGTAGTGTCAGTCTCGCGAAATTTTCTTCTGCGTCTTATCTTGTTCCAATCCGAAATCCGATCTCCTTGCTTTTTGATAATAAATATTTTGAATAGACAATTGTATACATATATTTGTAACAGTAGGTATCGAAAATATACCTTGTGTAATTAATTCGATAATCTATATGGTAATCGCATTTTTATGTAATTCAAAGACAAGTACAAAAAACGTTATATTTTTCGAGTCATTATAAAAATTTCTGTGTATGATATTTTTGAAGATATTATTTCATGTATTAATAAAAATACATGGATGTTAGTTAGTTTTTCTACTTTATAATTTTCTTTTTTTTTTTACATTATTATTTGTACTTTCTGCTTTATAATGTGAGTGTAATGGATGCAAAATTATGGGGTGTGTGCGGAAAAAGAAAAAGTATCTAGAAAATTATATATTTTTAGTGGAAATATATATTAAAAAAATTAGATTCCCACATTCATTCAATTCTTTTAGGTCTCCATGCAGGTGAATGCAGAGCATTTGTTGTTGATGGACAACAAGTTGGTCTTGTACGTCCAGATGTAATGAAGGAATTGTTAAACTACCCTCAGGTAACTTCATACTTGAAATTTCAAGGAGATTCAAAAGTGTTCGGACTACACTTTTATTCTGTATTCCTTTAAGGTGTTCCAAGTACATCCTGAATATGTGCAACTAAATCCAGCATTTCGAGATTATGCAGAAAGAAGTGCTCGTGTTGATGAGGTACTGAGGGAATGGCGTGCCGGTGGAAAATTTATAACTTTACGGGGATGGAGAGAGGAGTGTTATGAAGTGCGTGCACAGTTTAACACACCACCGTTATTTAAAATGGATCGGTCTGCTACATGTAAGTGTATACTCTCTTCTACCAGTCTGTTTATGTCATCTTTGTTTCTTGAAAATATTAAAGTCTTATTATGAAACCTGCAGGCCTATTTGGAATCCGCAAATATGGTGTAGACATTAATGGATATGTTATGGACCCCGTGAAAGGACTATCAATATGGTTGCAAAAGCGTAGCCCAAATAAGCAGACCTGGCCTGGATACTGGGATAATATGGTGAGCGGTGGATTAAGTGTTGGTTATGGCATTAATGAAACAGCTATGAAAGAAGCCGGAGAAGAAGCCAGTATTCCCAATAATCTTATTGCAAAGCTAAAGAGTGCTGGTTGTGTATCACTTTTTTTCGAAAGTGAAAGGGGTCTGTTTCCCAACACAGAATTCGTGTATGACCTTGAGCTACCGCCCGATTTTGTACCGAGCAACAATGATGGAGAGGTAGAGACTTTTGAGTTACTTCCAGTTAATGAATGCTTAGAAAGGATATTGTCTTCACATTTCAAAACGACCTCTGTGCCAGTCGCCCTTGACTTTTTAATCAGACACGGATACATCACAGCGGAAAATGGTGAGTACTTTACTTCTATGCGCTAAGGTTATACAGGGTCATGATGCTGATGCATTTGTAAATATTCCATTTTTCTCTGTTGCAGAGCCTAATTTTATACAAATCGTGGAACTGCTTCATGTACCTCTGCAGACCATGTACAATCAACCACAAAAGAAATGTAAAATAGCCGCCAATGGTGAAGCAATCGAGCCCTTAGACAGAATTTAAGTTTAACTAGATCTTAATTTAAATGATGTTGAAATTGATTAAATTGAACGAGGTTGACTTTTCTTTCGTGGTTTTTTTTGTATTTGGTCAATTCTTCGCAGATTTTATAGTAAATGGTGCAGTTTTATACGTGTAAGGCTTGCATATATATATAAATATATATATATATATGTATATTTATACACTACTGAACAGTAGTTAAAAGGTTTTTTTTAGGAATCAGTTTGGAAAGTTTTTATGAAATTTAACTTAATTCTTATTTCCCTGGAAAATATATGCGTAATCTCACTTAAATTTTATTAATCTGACACTTCTTCTTTTCTTATCGCTCGCCATCATCTTTAGGCGTTCGTAGAATTCGGTTCATTACGATCGAAGTAATTTTTATAAATCTCGTTACGATGAAAGTATTCTGTCAAATTTTTGGAAGATATTTAATGCCGACTATTATACTCGCGACACATTATAGAACGGATAATAGTCATCGCCGTCAGTATCGAGAAACATAATTTACAAAATATTTACATTAATTTAATTAGCGTATCTGTGAACAACCACCGACGTTAATTATATTGTAAAATTGCGGCAATACAAAGAATAATTACGTATTCGATTCTTGTGATTACATTTAATCACGGTTCAAAGTCGTGCTAAAAACTTCCTTCGAGAATTTCTGTCTACCATCGGGCAGAATTTTATTGCACAATAACGAAAGTTTTTTTTTTTTCCATTTTTTTTTCGCCTGTCCCTACGAGTATTATTCTCCTCGGGGAACACCCGACTTTTGATATATATAACATCGATGTCGATCTAGAAGTATTATTAACGCAGCATTCCAGAAGCATAGATCTTAACTGTTGTAAGATTTTTCAGTTCTAAGCGACATGAAAAACGAAAAATGGTAAACACTAGTTTTTTCTAACGTTTGTAATCGAACTTTTGTACGGAGAAACCTTCTACACTTTAAACAGAGAAACGAAGTGCGTAGCACCGTGGTGCAGTAATATCCTAAATATTCTGCGTAGGATTAAGAGACACGAAAGCTCCATTCACAGTATTATCGAAACGTGAATGCACAGTATACTGTCCTTTTTTTTTGATATGTTAAAAACAAACAAAAGTGGTGAAAAAGAAAACAAAATAAGAAATTTATAGGACGAATTATGTCGACGTATGTGTTCTTAAATAATCCAGCTATGCTACCAACCGTGAAAATGCTTAGACCTGGCATTTTCCCCCGGGGACGACACACCGTTTTCTGGGGAGATGGGAACAAAATGTGGTCGTATTGTTTATTGTACGTAACTGTAGGTAGTTTTTTGAATTGAAATTTCGTATTTGAAGATCCGTGTGATATCGACGAATTGCAGGAGCAGTGGACTGCATAAGTAGTAAAATCGAAAATGTACATCGGTATATATTTCGTCATCTCTTTTCTTTACATATATCAATTATCCGTTACATTTCTCCTGTAATTAGACGGCCAACTTTTGTATTTACTTTCTCGTTCATTTTATATTCTCACATGAAAGTAAATCCATGATCACGCTAATTAATTCTTCATAAATCCCTTAACGTTACACGTTTCTCATTTTTCCCCTTTCAATATAGTTAGAGCGTTTCTAGTATTATATTTTGTCAATGTACCGGGTATCACTTTAATTACGAACATCTTAATTGTTTCATGTGCTGTGAAATTCAAGACACGAAATAATGACTAAAGTGGGATTCCATAGTTAGTGGCTTTAGTATTAAATATTCATTAGAAAACAATGGCTATTTCAAGATTTCCAAATTATTCAAATTATTTCAATAATTACAAATAATTTCAATGTTCGTAACTAGCGGGATATCCTCGGTACAACGTATGCTTTTCCGTTTGCTTATCTTCACACGCAGATCGTCTAAAGTGAAATTGAAGTCATCCTTGAACGTGTACGCTGACAGTGGTATTTTTTTTTTTTAAGTTCTATCGAGACTAACTCCGAGCGTGTTGGATAAGTTTAATACATTTTTTATAAACGAACGATTGTAATAACATACTAGTCATATTACTTCGCCGCCTTGTATACTTTAAAACCCTAAGATCTGGTCATGAAATTTAGTGTCTACGGCGCGTGTTTTTGTTTTTAAGCGAACATTCATCGTGTTACGACTGTTTTTTTGTGATAGAAAACGGGTACGGCTGGCCATACTGTTTAACATGCATGAAATAATTATTGTCAACGAATGAGAAATTTAAAATAAAATTTTTTTAAATGTCACAAACACTCGTACTGATCGTTACCTCGCTTGATCGTATATATCAAATTTCGTTCTTGCATCGTGTTCAGTATGGTTATCGATTGTATTATTAGGTTTCTGTTTTTTTTTTTTCGTCGACACGAGTCGAGAATGCGAGGGTGAAGACACACGGAGTTTGGTTGACAAAACGAAGTGTCGTGTATCGTACAATCGGATCGCGCGTGTTGTACTTAATTTCTCCAGTATTCTTTACGGACCCATCGAATCATTGCATTACTCTCTCCGTTGTAAGATATAATCGTGTGTACCGATCGTATGAGAAAAAAAAAACAGTCAGAAGCAAAGGGCGATTCAACCGCAAACGAAAAAAAGAAAAAAAAGATATTAACATAACGAATATACCATTTCAGACGCTTTGTACTTTACGAATGTATTCATTTCAGTTTATGTAAAATAACACATGCAATAATAAACTAACGTTAACAGAACACGGTGTTGCTGTTCTTGTGGATGATATTGATTTTAAATAAACGTCCAACTAATAATGTAATCGTTGTACATTCCAATCACCCTCTAAAATCTGCGTTTACATCGAATGTATTCACATTTCGCCAGAATATATACATATATAGTACAATGTTATCATTAACTTTTATGTAATTATTACAAAATATATATATATATATATATATATATTTGTATTTGGCTATTTAAGTTGGATAAGAAAATTGAAGAGAATCGTGTGTTTTGATGGTGGAAAATATTTTCGTTGGAAATTTAATGAAACCACGACGAAAAATGACCTGGCCAGGGTGGTGGGGGATGCTTGAAAAAAAGAATAACAATAACATGTGTCGGCAGCTTGGTGGGGAGGCCTGAGGTTTGTCAGAAGATACAAAAATCGAATCAGTTCCATTTTCGACCGCGTCGAGGAAACATACTTTCGTGTTCGAGCCACTTCCGGTCGAAATTCACTGTAGTTTTCAACCCCCTTCGCAGTGGATCGTTTTAAAGTGTCGTTCAACCGACTAATCGAGTGGAATAAGACAGTGATTTAATACAAATTTCCGTTGTTTAAAAGGTACGGTGAATAATTTGCGAATAAAGCGCATAAAGATTACACCATATTGCGAAATTTTTCATTGCACGTATATTCGATCGTTGCAAAATTAAAAGAATATTTGTTCATTTCTGTGTGTGTTGGTGAAAAAATATTTTGTTGTAAGAATTATTTTTGCTCGTTTGAATACAATATTGTCGTACTTATATTTCGTTCAATCTATTTATATTTTTGTTCTGTTTCATAGTTAATTTTCTACCATGGGCCTATGCCACTCTCACCGAAAATGTTTCCACCTTCTTTAGTGGACATTGTATTTTGGCGTTTGGGTATGTAAACAATTTGGTGATCGGTAAGTACTTAACACAATTTTTGTATGATCGAGGTATATAAACCCCTAGATTCAATATATTTTCTATGGTAGTTGGATTTAATTTATAATAACAATATCCTGTGTACTAATTATACATATATATGTATATATGTGCAGTCAAGCGGTATTATTATTAGTAATAAAAAAAGTCGAACAGTACTAAGGAACGACTGTTATTCAGCAGGATAATACAAATAACATACCTGGTGCGAGACTTCACTGCGTGAATGTACTATTTCTCGATTTTCATGTAAATTAATCACACACAATAACTACATTTCACTTTTATTTACACAAAACACTATTTTACGGTAATCGCGTCACCTTTTCACGGCGTCCATTGTCAAACTGCGAGAAATTTAATCTTTTCTCGTTGAAGATTCAAATTATCGATATAGATAATGTTCGATTTTATCGATATCTGAATTTTGACGTCCATACTTGGCGCGCATGCGTGGGCGGCTATGACGCGGTTAAATTAGAACGTAAACGTACATTGACCGCGGTAATGGTGTTTTCGTGTGTTTAAGTAATAACTATAAATTTTTTTAAAAATGTCCGTCTCTGTGGGTAGGAGTAATTTAACGCATTTCTGTAAAAATCATCTGAAGAAATATCTAATACGGGCAAGAAGTATTAGATTCAGTTCTACGGCTGAATCCAAACCGTCTAACCTAGATTGTAAGAATGTCCCGGTTCCCGAAAAGTTTACCGCTGCTGTATTAAAGAATTTTTGTAATCCACTTATTGTAGATTACTTTGAACCGCTTGAAATATCGCAACCAAACCAAGTGAGTTTGAAAATTTGAAATTAAGTTAATAAAATACTCTGCAGTATGATTTTCATACACTTTTCATAATAAATCACAATACGATGAAGGATAAGTGTATATTTTTGTACCATTAGGTTGTTATAGATGTGCAATATTGTGCTTTGAATGTCTCAGATATCTTATTAGCCACAAATTCATATACATTTAAGCCGAATCTGCCAAAGATTCTTGGCTATGAGTTTGTTGGAAAATTAGCACAGATCGGAGAGGAAGCAAAAAAATGTGGGTATAAAGTTGGGGATAAGGTTGTTGCTCTCAATAAAGATTGTTACGGAGGTTTAAGTGAACAGTGTCTAGTAGAAGTTAATGTAAGCAGGCATTATTAAATATATCGTCTTTGTTTGTCATTCAACTGTAAGCAAATCTTATAGGATATTTGGAAAATACCGTCTGAAATAAAATCAATTCATGCAGTGGCTCTTCTTGATGATTATGTTACTGCTTTACTTGCATTAGAAAGAAATATCAGCATACAAGAAAGTGATATCATTTTGATTAATGTTGGAATGAGTAGCATTGGTCTAGCAGCAGTTGATCTTGCAACAAATGTATATAAATCTCAGGTTAGATCTATATTATTCAGGATTAATAAAATCTCGACGAAAGTGTTAAAGTAGGTCATTGATTCAGGTGATAGCTGTTTGTGCTACAGAGGAAGGAGCAGATCTTGCTCGTGCAAAGGGCACAGTCCTTGCCTCATTTAAATACAAAGATCGTAAATTGTTGAAACAGTTAGAGGAATTAGCTGCTGATAAAGACATTAAAACAATCTTTGCTGATGCTGATGGGGAGCATTTGAAAAAGGTCTTAGATTGGTAAGTCATTAAGTGTCTCCGATGAGACTAGATTTCCTAAAAGTTTCAGTGATTCTCATGTGAGACTTTGATCAGGTAATAGACAGTGAGAGCAGTAATGTCGTGTTTTTAGCTTCACCAGTATCTATAGAAGTGGTGCAACCATGAAAGATTTATTGAGGGATGATAACTTTGCCACTGTGGTGCATCATCTTTCACGCGAAGGTGCATAAATAATTAAAAATTTATTCGAAACGTGGAGTAACTTTCTCATCTATAATTTTTGTCTTCAAGGGAGGGTGGTAATTGCTGGATCAACAGCGATCATGAACGAATCCGATACGAATCGTTTCAGTGTTACTGGGTTCAACTTAAGAGAATACAGGAAAAAGAAACCTGAGGCATACCGGTATATAGTTTGATTCTAGGCATACTATTAAGCATCGCTTTAAATTACTTTTAATTCATTTGTTTAATAATTCAGTCAAGCTGGGGACGACGTTTTACAATTTTTCGAGGAGGGTCTCATTAAACCAACTTCTGTACTAACTGTTGGATTATGCAATGTAAATGATGCAATGGATTTTATTCCCAAGAGCAAGTCCCCAGGAAAAGTGAGTGTATAGTATAGTAACTTGTAGTGATAGTTTCATAAAAACAAATGCGAGACAAAAAGATAATCGTCAATTCCGCAGGTCATTGTAGACATAAAAAACAAGGACGCTAAAGCGAAGAAAGTGAAAGAAGATAACGATTAAAAGGTTTAATATACAGAATATGCAAACACGTTTACAGGTGTGCAGAAGTATTATTAATAATACTGAGGGAACACTCTTTTAATAAGGCGGATAATTTAATTATGTTTTTTTTTTATTGTATATATTAGACTCTGTAAGGAACCAATCCTATCCTACTGTACAAAGTCTTTAATAAACTATTTTGTACTAATAGGTACCGATAAATGGTACTACCGATTGTCCCACCTTTTTCCTTAGGCTGGGCTTAGTAAAAGGTTAGTCATGAAGTACTTTGTACTTAATCACCAATTGAGAGTGCAGCTTCTCGTTTCATCCGGTTAAAGCCGCACTACACTTAGGTGATCCAGCGAAACACTCGAGATCTAAATATCAGTCGAGATAAATGTAGGGTGACCGAGAACAATATGGTAGCGTAGATGAAAGGCAAACATACTATATAAATATTGTATCCTGTAGAGTCAACGGATAGTAATTCACTTTATATCGATCAATTTTTCCTGTGCAGCCAGCCACGCCGTTCTTTGAAAGGGCCCACGTGTTTCCACGCGGTCGAGACAACAGCGAAATTACACGCATACGATTGTTCTTAGGTAGCGGTATACTAACTCGGCCGCGGTCATTATCGGTTGCCCAATGCCTTTTATCGAAACTGGAGCGTTTTGTTGGCGGTGCTACCGAGTACCGATCGAAACCCGAAGTAAAAGTCCTGAGAACGGTCTTTCGTGAAATCGTCAAGTTATAAATAAGTTCCCCTAATGGTAGCAAAGAATTTTGTACTCCTTCGTCGTAGTTCAGTTTGGAGTGGCTAGGAGAAATAGTTGCAGTTGCGCCATGAGGTTAAATATTCCAAAATTATGATTGACATTAAAACAGAGTATTCATACTTAGGTTATATAGTAATCATTTACTAGGTAATTAGCTAGGTAGCCTAAACCAATCTGTTCAGTGGATGGACCAAATCAAACTATTGGGTACGTAGACAAAAAGCGATAGTCCTGTTTCGATTTCATTCTCCCTAGGTAGGGGTGTTCTGTCCATCGATTGACAGAATCGTCCAACTGGTGTCGATTACTAATCAGAATTTATAAAAGGATTGCGTGGGTGTTCTAGATTACTCGGACCAGCGGTGACCTTACTTGGGAGGCAAAGTAGTCTGCAAGGGACTCAGAAGCTATCGCTTCATCTAGCATATTTTTCGTATCGTGTTTCACAATGATCATTATGCTTTATTAGGTCCAGTCCTGAGTCCTTCCTGTTGGACTGTTCTTATTCTGAAATATCCACCTTGAAAATCTCTCTGTACCGCAGAGGAATGCTCCGAGTCGCATACCAGCCTCCGTTTCGCGCTTTACTCCGCCCCGGCGACGAAGGCCAATTAGAACGCCTTCGTATCGTTAATCATACGGTTGGGTTCGGGTTCAAGGTAGCGCCTCCCGGGGGTAGTCGTGGGTGTGGTGAGCGGGATTTCAAAATTCAATTGTCCGTCCACGGCGCGATATCGCGGAGTCCTTATGTAAATGCTGCTTTCTCTATAAACCTTGTCGACCGACGTGTCGCCCGGTGAACAACGTGACAGAAAAAAGAAACATTACGGAGACTGCTTTTGCCCGCGTTTTAACGGCGATTTATTTCTCGTGCACGGTTTCTTTCGTGACCAACTGGCGAGACCTCGTCATCAATTTAGGCGTTATACAAATTTCTTTGGTAAACGTTTACGCTGCTTTTCACGTCTCAGTTGATTATAACTGCTTCTAGTGATTAATCTGAATGATGTACAGTAAATTCTCGATGAGTGTTCGAAGGTTCTTCGGCACTGACACGGCTAAGTCCCCAAGTGTAACGCTGACTTTTTAATCAGTTTTCTAGCCCTGGGGTCAGGATTAACACTAGGATGATGAAGTCATTTGAGACCCAGACTTTAACCTCACGCTACAACGCAGGTGCAAACTTTAAATAAAACAGTTACACGAGATTTGGGTATGAGTCAAAAGTGACTCAGCTATGCCTTCGATGTTTCAGTCTTCCGAGTGTTAACCCATCTGCGCGCGGGGGCTTCGAGGATCTATACAAGATGGATTCTTCGTCGCAGATAGAATTCTGTCCACTATTATTTATAACATACACGACTCAGTACCGTTAAAATTAATTGCATGAAAATGTCTTCCGACCAGGTCCAGCGCCACATTAACCGTGTACAGATAAGCGATCTTTTCAATTAACCGCCGCTGGAAAGAGGAATTACGGACGATCTGCTTGCCAGATGTCGGAGGTGGAGAGAAATAAAGGTCCCCCCCTCGGTTGGATCGAAAGGACAGGTTACATAATATGCATCCAGCGCAAAAAGTCACGGTTTCGCGGGACTTTCGCGTCTCGGGGCTGGCACGCTCCGGAACTCTTCGTCTCTTTCCGTCCAGACAACGTGTCCCAAGACACGTCTGTCAGCGATTTCAACGATTCCCTGTCGACCGGGAGTTCCGTTATCCTCGAAGGATCGAGGAATGTCGACACTGCGCCGAAAATGGCACCGCGGGCGTGATCTCTGACGCAATTTTGTCCATGGTTAGATCAGAGGGATCGAATCTCGATTTTCGAAGAACGTTACGTTGGACCGTTTACTTAATCCCCTTAACGCAATCGATAATCCTTTAGTTTTTGGTGGAGACTATTCCTAAAATCCTTCAGTTTGTGGAAAGACTCTAACCTGTACGGACTGGAACCTCAGCATTTGGGAAACTTTAGCCCGGTTTTCGACTGTCTGTGCGAGTTAGAAGTCCGATAAGATCCACATTCGTGACAGTTTGATGATCCACTGGAGCAACGGAAGAGGTTAGGTCGATAATCCTTGTAGTATTTGGGTAGATTCTAACCTACAGTCCTTCAGTTTTTGGGTAGGACTAGAGTCCTAGGTTAGGACCTATATAGGCAGGAAACTCAGCATTTGGGAGACTCTAACCTAGTTTTCGACTCTCTGTGTGAGTTAGAAGTCCGATAAGATCCACTTTCGTGACAGTTTGATGATCCACTGGAGCAACGGAAGAGGTTAGGTCGATAATCCTTTTAGTATTTTGGTAGATTCTAACCTACAGTCCTTCAGTTTTTGGGTAGGACTAGAGTCCTAGGTTAGGACCTATATAGACTGGAACCTCAGCATTTGGGAGACTCTAACCTAGTTTTCGACTCTCTGTGTGAGTTAGAAGTCCGATAAGATCCACTTTCGTCACAGTTTGATGATCCACTAGAGCAAAGGAAGAGGCCCAGACGCCCATGGTGTCTTTCATCAGACGATGATGAATCGCGATAGGACTTCTGGAGGATATGATAGAAAATTAATCTGTGTAGCGTGCACGATGATCGGTAGATTGATCGCGGATCCGGCGTGGCTTGCAAAACCAGAAACGGGATCTGCTAGATCGCAGGAACAGAGGCAACTAAGGTACGTGGCGAGAAACCGAGTGGGAGAGCTTACGACAGTCACATATCCGCGTAGCACTTACGGCGGCATTTGTCGCTCTGTCCGCAAGAACGATAAAAGGAAATGGCCTCTGGTGGCTGCGTATCTGTACAATCACTCTGGGGAGCACGGTTCACCTAGATATGCTAATACAGATTAGAAAAGAGCGCAGGGGAGGGGGCGGACATATGCAAGGCTTTTCTTTCGGGCCCGACCGATAAATTGCAGATCTAAGTAAATACAGTTACAACTGTCGAAATTATCGATTTGTCCTTGGGCACAACGGACACCTATGCGTTACAGGACTCCTTCGAATATGCTATAACGTTGTGACGCAACGTGACACCATATCCCCAATGCTTAGGAGACAGTTTGGGGATATTGTGTATCTAGCAGATGTCTCGAGTTCCGCGCATCAAGCATCTGTTCCAGCAGATCCAGCTAGATCTTGTATCTGTCTTTTACTACATAAAATCGCTGATCCGGAGTCACCGGGTGGTCGACGTAACAGAGGTAATTAGAGAGTAGCCAATGACATTTAGACTCATTTTCTTGATTAAAATTGTCTTAAAGTTCAACCGATTTTACGTAATTCTAAGTGATCGTGTACGGACGGTTTAAAATTAGCTACTGGTACTTAAGATCCACAGGATCGATTTCGCTGATCGTCCGAAATTTAACGGTATCTGGCTCTCGATTGAATCGTCAATAGTCTCCGATGCTATATTAATCCAGACGAAATCTCGATCTGAATCGGCGAATTGATTAATGGATCGTTAATAGGGATCAGTGAAAGTGTTATCATCTTATAGTACCGCGCAAGAGGGTGGCATTGTCAGGAGGGGGCAATCTACGGCCCTGCCAGAACTGACTGGCACAACAATACCTGGGCTGGCTATGGTCCCTGCATAACATTAACACCGGTCTGTCGTAACATTATTATTGGCCGTTGTCGACTGTGCCCCCCTGTAACTACGATAAAGCATGGAAAAGCGATCATAATTACCAGTTCGGTATTTCTTAACCACCCCCCCCCCTCCTCCCGTTCGACCACCGGGGAATTAATTTGGCGTATTTTATGGGGGACCATAATGGCGCCAGCGATTTTCTAATTTTGTAATTTACGCCGGTGCCTTCGGTGTAATGCGAGGTATGCAACAGTTTGTATACACTGGTTCTGTGGAAATTTCTGCGGGAACTGTGAGTATTTATTTATTTATTCAAACGGGAGCAAGTACCTTTTCCCTATAAATTTTAGCCAAGTAAAAAGATTAACTAGGTTACATATTTCGTTAGTCCAGATGAATATCCCACGTAATAGGACCCTTAACCTCTTAGCTGTGAATGACGAGTATACTCGTCATGAAGAAACGGCAATTTTTTGTGCAATGACGAGTATATTCGTCCTGCGAGAGAAATAATTATCATTTGTTACATAAATTCAAATTTTTGTGAAAACTAAAACGTATTTGTAAATTGTGGACATTTTAAAAATTTTCTCGACTAGACTGATTCAATTTCACAGCAGCTGTACACATTCTGTGTTCGACGAGTATACTCGTCATCGCGTCGTTCTAGCGACACAACGTCGATACACAATTTTAAAAAACCAGCACCTAAGAGGTTAAAACAA